TTCGCTAAAAATTCTTTCCCATACAAGATTAGGTGTGCTTGCACAATATATTTTTTCAACTTCCATTTTGTATATTATTGTTACTTTACATACATCTTCAAATTCTTGAAGAAATAAACAACGCTCCTTTGCCAAATAAAACAAAAAACTTGATATAAATCCAACTCCAGCATATCCCCATTGATCATTTTCAGATCTCGCAATCCCAAATACAAAAACGCGTACCAGCTCAAGATTAACAAAATATGGACGAAATAAAACTCCTTCTAATAATTTTTTACAAATATCTGGCTTGTCAAAGCCCATTATCATAGGACCTGAAAATCTGGTTTTAGTATGAAACATTTGTTGATAAACTGTAGATATCGCGTTGGAACTAGAAATACTCGGCTCAGTAGTATAAAAAGATCCACAAGTGCAAATGTACCCTGGCTGTTCAAAATGTTCCCTATTACCTTTCACCACTGTTAAAATAAAGTCATGTCCACTTAAATGGGTTACTACTTTCATATGCAGACGAATAGGAACCAGAAATTCCATTTCTTGATTGCAAACTATCCACCATTCATACGAAAAAGGTCCGAAGTGTAATTCTGAATCAATAGTTCCCACAGAAACTAACTAAGGAAACATCATAATTTTTATCTTTTGTCATATTTGTAGAGTAATAACAAGTAACGCGAAAGAGTTTACATGGTTGTATTGGGTAACGCGAGAGAGATCTAACGGTTTTCTGTTTATTATATAAAACGATATATGTTCTTATCTCCGATCGACACTAATTAAATCACATGATTTTCTCTGATTGTTACACGAATCACGAATTAAGTTTGGAAGTAAATTTATTTTTATTTTGCGATTTTTACGTTAATTTTGATTAAAAAATTAAAAGCAAATTCTACTGTACAGCGCTGTATGCATAATTACTTATGATCGGTAAATCAGTATCGTATTTTTATTGCTTCAAGTAAATAATAAATTTTGAGTAAACTTGTTATCTTTGTACATCGGATGATCAGAACTCAGTCAAACATCAGGGGTATCAAAGTCCATATTTGCAAATATATAATATCAGTAAATACAATACATAAAATAAACTAGATGCAAGAATATATTGGCAGTTGAACCATAGTCTCTAGAGTTAAACTATCAATAATGACCAGCCCTATAAAAATTTTTTAGAAAATTGATCACATGTCTGAGTTCTTCTAGAGTAAAAAACTAGAAAAATAATTATATTTTTATTTTAACGTTATTGTTTAATTCATAGTTTCAGAATGCTTTGATGTTAAATTTAAACGAATCAGGTAAAATAATTTATTTGAAGTAATTTATTATTTTATTAATAATGAATGGTTTTCTTGTCTAATTTTATTCAATAAAATTAATCGGTTTTTTCGAAAATAGTCAGAGTATTATTTAATAAATTTAAGTTAGTATTTAAAAATTTTATTAACTCAGGTTTAATATTATTCTTAGCGGAAATTTTATGGTAGGTTCTTGAGATTCGAGACATTTAAAGATTTTTTCCTAGAAATATTCCGTCTGTTGAAACAAGTAATATTTTAATTTAGGTAAACGCGGTAAGATAATATTATTTATTAATTAAAGCTTTAATTTGTCAACTGCAAACGATCTGCAGAAAATGGGAATCTGGCGTGACGTCAAATAAAAGTAAAAAATTATGTGAAAAAATTATTGTAAAAAACAAATTATTTGAAACTTTGGGATGAGTATTATTATGTAAAAAAATATGAAAAAATTACTAATGATCGACATAAATTTGCATAAATGAATTTTTTACAGTAGACTCACGGATCACGAATTAAAATAACAGTTAACGATAATTACTTTTTAAAGAATATGAAATGAAATTGGAATTTTGACCGTTCTTTATGTTGAATTCAGTTACATAGGCCTAATACAGTAGCATCTTCACTTAAATACTTCAAATATTATAAATACTTTAATATGAAAATTAAATGTAATCATAGAACAAAGAAAAATTATCATATCCCTTTAACTTATTCAAATTCATAATATACTACGGATTTCCTTTATTATAGTTATAAAGAATAAGAGAGTGGTAATTAACGATATTACACATAGTGAAAAGTGCCTTAGATCTATTCCGACAAAATATCTTCACGCGATTGTGACCTGAATATCATTAAAATTATAGAAAAGCCTGATTGCCGACGGAATCAGATGGACAATAGTGTTTCTGACCTTATTACTTTAACTAAAAAATGATTAAGCTCGTTTCATATCATATGAAAAAATATACCTAACCGAGATTAGATCGGTCCATCACATTTATTTGTCATCAATAACGCTGTGTGTCTTGCTACATTTAAAGCTTTTCGATTCTTTATACGAACGGATCAAATTGTTAATTGCCGATTAGGAAATAAAGTTAAATTATTCATATCAAGAGAGGGAAATAATGAAAGTGGAGAAATGTATCATATCTTTTCGGTTCATCACCATGCTGTTTTTACATCACTATACAAACATTATTAACAGTACACTTTAATACATCTATTTATTAAAATTTAATACATCAGGAAATTTTTTTAGAGGAAAAATATCGATAATTATCACTTCATCGATATTTATCACATTTTATTATACCGAATAAATCGATAATTAACACATATTGATAAATAACTAGGAATATATAATGATATTTAACTATAACATATTTTATCTGAAAAAATCATAAGGTTAATTACCAATAATTTGTGATGTAATAATTATTGATAATAATCTTTGTAATCTCATGGTTAATTTCTGATAATTTGTAATATTGATAATTTATTGATAATATTTAGTTGGATTTTATAATTAAAAAAAAAATATTAAAAGTAAGTTACGAAAAAGAGGTAACGGTTCTTTATTTAACAATCACGTGTATCATATCATGTGACACAACATCTCGTTGGTTAAACTACTAGTAAGACGCAAACTTTTTTTTTAACTAAACATTTTTTACGCCCTTTCCCATTTCCCTTCCCCTCTCACCTGTTTCTCTTTCGCACCACTTTATCCTTTTTTATACTTTTCTTTTTCTTTCGTTTTCACCATTTGTTTCATTTCATTTTTTTCCATTTTTTTCATTTTGGCTCTCCTCTGTTTTTCCCTTCCCTTTTTTCGTTCCGTTTAGTCCCCTCTCCCTCTTCCTCTCTTTCATTCTTCTCTTTCAACCTTCCCTTTAATTTAAACACTTTTCTTAAAAAATTATAAATTTTTTTTTGTTACGTTTTCATTTCAGCGGTTTCCTTGTAGAAATGTAAGTAAATTTTTGGGATTTTAAACTTATTTTTTTCGCATTTAGTACTAATCTTCCTTTTTTTTATAGATTTTATCTTCATTTCAGCTTTCAGACGTTTGGGAATTCGCGTTTCTGTTTAGAAGGCCAAAAAATGTGTTGAAATTCGGCATTTTTTTCTTTGGAATTTTTCTTTTTTTTTTAGACGATTTTCTGGATTTATTTGGACGCGTGAGTCTCTTCGGTTTTTTGACTCAGGATTTTGGTAAGACACTAATTTTTTTATTAATTTTTTTTATTTTTAACGAACTTTACTAAAAGTTCTTTTTTAGGCGGTTCTTCGGCTCTTCAACAAGGAGATTTTGGTAAGACTATTATGATGATATTTTTTCTTTCTTTATTTCTTTAACAAAAGTTAACATTCATTTTTTCTTCTTTCTTTAGGCGTTTCTTTCGGTCTTGAAAAGGAGATTAGTGTGTTTAATTTTTTTTCGACTTGGGATTTTGGTAGGCTAATTATTATTACATGTACAGTGTCATAATTATGTAGTATAATTACAAAAAAAGTTAAAAAAGTTCGTATTAAAAAAATTTGAACAAACTGTAATTACACAAACTACTTAAATTACACAATCATTATATATTTCACTTTTTTTAAGCCATATGAAAATTCTTAAAATAGTCAAGCTAAAGGCTTACATTAATTACAAATAAGGCTTATATATTATGGCTTATTAAATCTAGATCATCACATGAATTTAGTTTTACTAAATACTATCGTAAAATTTGTGGCTTTGATCACAATACTCAATACCTTTATGGGTTTTTCCGATACCCAACTTTTTTTAAGCCCCATAATGAATAATCAAGCTAAAGGCTTACATTATAACAAATAAGGCTTAGATATGTATGGCTTAGTTAATCTTAATTATCAGATCATCACATGGATTAGTTTGATTTAATATGATAATAACGATATTGTATAAGGCAAAATTTGTGGTTTGATCATCAATCTTATAAATACCTCTTGATTTTTCTTTTCTCACATTTTTATAATTTATGACAATGAGCTGCTTATCAAGATCATAACAATTCGTAAGTCCAAGCACAACAAGAAGTGCACAAGTTGCTAGAGTTGTTGTTAGAGATAACAGCAACAAACAAACTTTTACGGTATATAAATATTTTTTAATTAATTGTTTTTAACATCATTTTTAAAAATCTATTTATGGGAAGATACATGGAGCTTTGTATCCTATATCTTCTCAGTGTGGAGAGTAATACTTTGAAGTCCGAGTTATTTATAGACAAGTAGTATTATTCAAAAACATAATATATTTTTAAAAATGGATTAATGTAATAGTATCAAACAATTAAATTGAATGTAACTAATTATTTCTTTTCTTAATAATAATATAAAGCCTACAATTTCCAGAACATTAAGAGAGACATTATTTACCCAGGGGAATACAAGAAAATTGAATGATGATGATTTTAAGTTATATAAGGATTCATCAGAATGTGCTAGTTTAAGATGTGAAAATGATCTGATATCTGTTCGCCAAAATCAGATTGATGATGTTGTTGACTTTGAGACCTTTAATAAATTAAAAGAATTTAGTTCCAAAGTTCAGAATTTGGAGGAGGAATTAATTCTAAATTAATAAAATATAAAATTAAAAAATAACATCACCATGATCAGTGCCACCATTACCACTACTAGCAACAACAGCACAAGCAGTACCACCACCACTGCCACTACTTCTACCACTACTAGCAGAAACAACACAACCACCACCACCAATAATAAATCAAAGAAAATTCACAAAGACATTGTAAAACTAACAAAAAATATTATTAATCTTGTTGAAAATATCATGCCACCTACGTTTTTGCAGTCATTACTCATAATTCCAAAAGATCTAAACTAGTCTAATATATGAATATAATAAATATCATATTGATGAAGTGTATGTCAGTTAATAATATATCCAATAGATTATCAACATCTGATAATTATTCTTATGTGTGAGCGAGTGGTGAGTGTTTTATAAATTGAATAGGTCTGTAGGGATGCCAATACAGCAATACCTTTTCGTATCACTCAGATAATACCTGGCTTTTATTATTTTAATTCTATTATTAAGATATTATTAAGATAATTATATTTATCCAGAATTGTATGAAGTCATGTGTGCAAAAAAATGAGTTTAAAAAATAGTAGTTTTCATTGCCTATTAACTGGCAGATATTATCCTACGCTTATCACATGGTCTGATTTTTTAGGAGTTTTTCCAGAAAATTTTTTTTGTCACTATTTAATGACTTCATCGGGAAATTTTTCTAGGGGATATGTCGATGAAAAGGTCACATGACATACATCGATATTAATCGGACTCGTTGAGTAATATCGATAGGGATAAACAGTGATAAATTATCATATTTAAACTTAAATGATAATCATTGATATTTAACCAAACAAATAATTATCGGACTATAACCTTAAACAATAAATATCAAAATATATTCATTTGATAATTATATGATATATTGATTTTTAACTATAATGTCACTAATCACTTTTATTTAGCAAATACATCATTTTATTAGTACTTAATAATATGAAAGAAAAAAAGACTAAAAAAATCAAAAATTCTACAATAAACTCCCATCCAAACCTATCGTCTAAAGCCAAATAAAAACAGAGTAATGTTTCATTAATAATAAAAGACAAAAAATAAAACTTTCCATCCAAAAAGCAATTAAGAGTCTATAAAATAAAAATAAACATTAATTAAAGTTTGCTAAAAGAGATAAATTTAAAAAAAGTTTCGAATAGTACCTTCGAAACTGATCATATCAGCCAGTACCCAATGAAATCCAAACACCTACAAAAATGAAAAAGGAAAAACGTTAGAAAACGTTTCAAATAAAAAAATATATTAGCAAATCTTGTAAATTATGGAATTTACCATATCTGAAAATGTAAGATGCGTTAGAAAGCGTTTCTTTCTAATAAAATAAAATAAATCAAGTCCTGTAATAGGTATTGCGAAAATTACTGTTTTCACTTTCCCATTCAATCAAAAGTCCACAACCTACAAAAATAAAGAAAAACGTGAGTTGACGTTTCTCATTATATAAAAATAAAAAAATTAAGTTTCAAAGTTACAACTTTGAGACTTACCAGTCTAACGCCAAAAGTTGAAACTAGAACCTACAAGAAGTTTCGTTAAAATAAATATTTAAAAAAAAATTCACTAACGTCTGACCTGAAAGAACTAAAAAAAGTAAAAGAAATGAACTTTTACCTAAATCCTGAGCTAAATCCAAAAATGAAATCCAGAAAATATTTCATCAATGAATACATTCTCCCCTTCCTTTCCTACTGAATTTTAACGTGTTTTTTGACCATCTAAAAAGAAACAAGTTCCCAGGCATCCGAAGGTCAAAATGAGACAAAACCTAAAAAAAAAGATTAGTACTATAGACGAAAAACATTTTTCACAAGAGATCTACCAAAACAAAAACGTGACCAAATTTATAATTTTTTTCATGTTGTGAAAAGCGTTTAATTTAAGTGAAAGAGAAGTGTGAAAGAGAAGAAAGACGATAGAGAGGGAGAGAAAGGTAAAACAAAAAAAGGAAAAGGGAAAAATAGAGGAAATAGGAAAAAGGAAAGAATGAAAAAGGGGAAAGGGAAAGACGGTATCATTTAAAATAAAGGTGGCTAGAAAGACGGAAAAACGGAAAGAGATAAAAAAGGAAATAAATAACCAAAAATGAGTAAAAAAAATGCAAAATAAAAAAAATGAACAAGAAAAAAGAAATAAATGACAATAATGAAATAAACGAGATAAAATGAAGGGGAAAATGAAAAAAATGGAAAAAAATGAAATGAAACGAAAGGTGAAAAAGAAGAAAAAAGAAAAAAGAAAGCGTAAAAAAGGGTGAAGTGGGTGAAGGGAAAGTGTGAGAGGAGAAAGGAAAAAGAAGGGTAGAAGAGTATAAGAAAATGGTTAATTAAACTAAAAAAAAAGTTTAAAAAAATAAACTTATCGTCACGTCTTACGGTCTTAGTAGTTTAACTAACGGAAAGTCGTGTCACATGATATAATACACGTGATTATTAAATAACCTCGTACTTATTTTTAATTAATTTAAAATATCATGTTACATAACGCAAATCTATACAGGATTGATAAATTATCACTACAGAAATTTATTGATAAAATTTAATATCATTATTTATCTTTCAGATAATTATCAATAAATATCATTAACATTAAATAACTTACAGAAATTTATTGATAAAATCTTTTAACACTTAATAATATCATTATTTATTTTTCAGATTATTGTCAATAAATATCATTAATGTTAAATATCTTATAGAAATTCATCGATAAAATTTTTAACACTTAATACGATTAAATATCTTTCAGATAATTATCAATAAATATCATTAATGTTAAATATTGTTATATTTTTCCAGTTGTTTATCGATGATCATCATAATACGTTAATTATCGATTTATTTAGTACGATAAAATGTGATAATTATCGATAAAGTGATAATTATCGATATTTATCCCCCCAAAAAATTTCCCGATGTATATAAAATTAGTTACGCCACTTTAATTTATCCGTCACGGAGAAATAACTGACGGTCATTATTGAATTACGATTTTCTACATCACACGCATTCAACACGTAACCTGGGCATTTTTAAAATATTGTAACCCATACGCAATTACGTTCAAGTTAGAATTTCAATTTCAAATTGAAATTTTCGATTTGAATGTACAATTTCCAAAATGTGATCATATCCCAAACCAAATTTGGAGACATATTTAGTATTTGATTATCGCCTTGAACTTATGGCTCAAATTTACCAGAAGGATGGAAAATCGCAAATTAAATTCAGAGTGGGCTACAACAGCATTTTGTTGACATTTGAGAAATTGAGAGTCAGAGAAATTAAAGAAAATCAATCATTTTGTTTGTATTCATCCAAACGATGCTAAAAAAAAAAAAATTTTTTTGAGAAACGAAAAAAAAGAATACAATTCTTATCAGTTATGGCAGACGGCGCAGTCTAAAGTATTTTATTAGATTAATAATACTTAAAAAATTGAAATATTTACAATCTATTTACAAAATAATGTTCATTACTAGTATTCATATCATTCTATGAATTGACACTTCATACTTCTGATTTAATGCTACTTTTAAAACCAGTAATAATAATAACTAGCGAAAGATATTTTTGCGGTGTACAATCCCTATATTTTTTTTTGTCTAATTAGTAGAGGCAAGGTCTTTTTTTCTCTGTTTTAATTCCCAACATTTGACCTTATGGATCTTATGGAAGCGGCGGATAAACGTCGATTTTTATTATATTCTTCAATTTTATCGCGTCGATGATTCCATCTTATCAACGCATGATATGATCTTAAAATTAATTTATTTAATATAACTAATCCACCAGATGCAATCGCAAGTGATGGAATAAGATCATATGTTATCACACTATTGTAATATAGCCCTTGGATAATGATTTGAGGTACATCTTCAATAAAGATGTTTATGATACTACCCCAAAGCATTATTTTTTTTGATCTTTGAGTCAAAGGAATCGAAAATATTTTAAGGCCAAATAAATCCGATGATAAAGTGCTTAATATTTGTATATCAATGGCTGAAAATAATGTGCACATTGATGATAATGCCAGAGACTCTTTAATCCATTTAGAGAACAAAGGATTTGTTGCCATTTCAGATACAAAAATATTTATGGCAAATAAAATATTTATTACAATAGGTAAAATAAAGAATATCATACTAAATAATAATAAATAAGAAAATTAGTAATCAATTAAATTAATCTTCAAAATAATATAAATAAAATAACATTAATGAATTTCTTACGTTGGGATTTTTAAATGTGGTGTATTATTAACTTTTAATAATACAAATGCTAAATCCACAGCAAAATCTTGTATTATAAACCAGGTATCAAATATTACAGAGTTTTTTGCCTCAGGATTTTTTAGACGAGCCAAAATATATAATATTATTAATACAACTAAACCTACTATAAATATTATAATCAATGAACGATATTCTTCAAAATAATTTCCTGTAAAGTAATAGAATTAAAATTTAATAAAATATTAATCAAATACAAATGTCAAAAATATTTAATGAACACACTTACGGGTCATTATAAATGGTGCACTTTCATCAATTAAAGATGTATATTCATTAGATGAAAGTGCAGTAAACCTTTTTTGTTTGATCAAGGTTCTTAAAATTTCAAATATTGTTTGGGAGTTTGGTTCAATTATATGATCATCTTTAGCTTCATTTATTTTAAATGTTAATAATATTTTTTTTGGAGAAGTAGTGTCATATTTCCATATACCACTTGTCGATATCCTCTGTTCAGTTACTGGAATTGTTTTAGAAAATTCTCGAATCATACTCTTAAAAAATACTGAATGATTTGTTTGGAGAAATTTCAAACTTCCTTCTTCATTTAACCGAAGTAATCCAGTAACTGAATTTGAATGTTGTACTGGCGTATTAAGTGGTTCTAATAAATAAAGTAACAGACAGATAGAATATAAATTTTTCAATTCGATTATTTAAAAATTTTAAAAAAAAGATGTATATATTACCTGTTGAAAATGTCCAAATATTCTTTTTGATAATTCCTATTAAAGGTTCATCTCTCTCTTGAGAGATGACAAAATTATTATCAACCAACACATAATAGGAGGAGTTTGGTTGACTAAATGTACTTTCGAAAATTGGGATATGCACTGTATAGTTGTCACTTCCAACAGTACATAGTTTATGATCTCCCGAAAATGTTTGTCTTAATAGATCTGGTTTACTGGGATCATCACTTTGTTGAAATATTGAAACATTCGCAGTAGATAACTTTACTGGAATGGTATATTTGATCATTATTTCTTTAATCAAAGGATCAACAACTTCATTAATAGCTGGCTTTGTTGTTTCAATTACAGGACAACCATATTCAGTACCTACAGATATTAAAAAGAAAATATTAAATAAATATATATATATATATACCCTATAAAAAATTTTTCAGAAAAATGACCCTGTATTTGAGTTTCTTTGGAATAAAAACTAGAAAATTTTTTTATAGAATGTAAAGAAAGAAAAGCTTACTTCGATTATTTAATCTTGGTATAGATTTTAATAAAAACTCTAGTTTATTGTTATTCTGATTCTTTATTCCAACAATAGTATTATTTATATGAAATGTATTAAAATGAAAGAACTCTGGTCCAAAAGATTCCCATAATTGCGTATAATTACCATTATCATCTAAAAGATAAAAATCCATTGTACTGTGAATATGCTCCATAAGAAATCCTCCATAATATAAAATTTCAAAATCAATGTCCGTATTACTATTTGTTGGATTAGAAATTCTATTTAATTGTTCTAAGGCCCCAGTTGATAAAAATCTCAACTGATAGTAATTTATCTCAGTCCGGGATTTACTATTCTTCTTATTTATGACTGTATTATTTAATGCCATAATACATACATATCCTTCGGCATTATAAGTCACAGTACATGAATTAATTGTTATATTATTTAATCTTTTAGTGGTTTGGTAAACCAGATAAGGTATTGTGGGGGAATCTGTACCTTCTCTTAGAAAAGATACATATACTCTCCAGTATTGAAGATTTGGATCTGATCCTTTTGCTTCATTATATTTTAAAATATATATAAAACCAAACCCTCCATCTATTAATAAAAAATTTAAACTATCAACTAAGGTATATGATAATAGATTTGGTGCATGAAATTCACCATTTTTATGTCCCACTACTTCTCCTGTTATAATATCTCTAAAATAAGGTGAAAAAGTTAATTGACTAAACAATAAAATATTTTCAAAAAAAAAAAACTAATTGTCATTCATAAAAATACTTACGGATTGCTAAACCAATGCCATGCTGCTATTCCTTCTTTATCTGGTTTTTCAATACTAATAAACCCTTTATATGGTACTATGCTACGTTCAACAAATCCATTAGCATTTCCTAAATATATTTCACTAAAAAAATGTTATTATTAAATCACTATTATTGACTTTCATTAATGAGAATTTCCATCATTCAAACTTACTTTATAGACTCATTCCTGTAATTAATTATTATGCCATATTTTCCCTTAACACCATTGTTTGATTTAACATAAACTATCATTACATGATTATCAGTTAAGGATAAAATATCCATATTAATGGGACAAATTGCTTCCACAGGAAGAGTGTAATTAAAATCCATATATTCTATTTTTCCTGTTTTATCCATCAATCGTAAATGTAAATAAGGTAACATGCATGCTGGATCTTTATCTTCAAAGGCCATCCAAATTATCAAAGAACCATCTAAACTATAGGAGTAAGTATTATATAATTTTAACCCATTAATTGGTTCTTCATAAATAAATGATATATCTTGGGTTGATATATCTTGAAGGGATGTAGTTTGAGATGATGAAATATTTTGAGAAGAAGATAGTACGTTTTGAGATGAAGCAAAAAAGCAACAGATGGATAATAAACAGACAAAGGTGATCAACATCTTTGAATTGAACATTTTTACTAAGAGACTTGAAAAATGATAATGATAATTGATAAATTTTTTATTTGGGAGATAGACTTGAAAAATGATAATGATAATTGATAATTTTTTTACTTGAGAGATTACAGCAGAACAACAGAACATTTATATATATTTCTCATCATTATAATCTAAATTTATTTATTAACTATTAATAACTTTTCTTTTTATCAAACATGTTTCAAAAAAAAAA